CGCGGTCATCTCTCTTCCCACGTCTTTCAGATCTGTGTGTGCAAACAACAGGATTCTCCGTGTGCGTTATGATGCTTCACTTGAAGATTTCCAATTTAGTCAGCTGGACATGGCACAGGGTGGCATGTCATGGCGCATCCGAGGTACATGCGCCGGCGGCACTGCCCGCCTCCCCTGCGTTCATGATCATTCACTTGGCACAATTCTCTCCAACCCGTCCGTCGGCTACACCATCAGGAGTGGTACACCCTGTTTCTCGATGTTTGAACAATCGGGAGCCCCGGCTACAGTGCGCACGTGTGCTTGGATTCAGCGGGCTGGTGCTTGCAACCGAAATGCACTTCAGGAGAACGGTAGACAACGGTTTATTAAAAAAACGTGCCTTTGAGTTCGGTTTCGTGCGGCAAAAGTGCTTATACGGTATGTTCTGGGACCAATTTGGACGCATTGATGTCAGTACAACCGGCTTGTCGATATGGCGAATGTCAGTGTGGCGCGAAACAGGGTGTAGTGTACCAGTCCCCTCTCCCGTCCTAAAATTGCAGTCACCTCGCGTGTGCGTCTCTTTCGTCCCCCAAGAACCACGAGTTGAACAGCATTTTACGTGTGCGTTGCGTGTAAGGGTGTGTCCGAAGTGCCTCTCGACATCCATCCGTCATCCATCCGTCATCGGATGGATGACGTTGGCGGATGACGGGGGATGACGGATGGATGACGGTTGGATGTCGAGTCACTTCGGACACACATGTTTCGTCACCCCTTGCAGTCACAAAGGACGGTCGTTTGCCAAGAGATACTTTCGCCATATTTCCCCCTCAAAATTTGTTATCAAACTTTGGTTTCGTTGACTGCCTCGTTAACCAGCCCGATGTCACTGTTGGCGGCACCCTTGACTGTAATGATTACACATGGCTGGATGACGGATGGATGTCGGTCGGATGTCAAATCACTTCGGACACAACGCCGGCCCGTAAATTCTCACCCACCTACCCTGACATCCGTCGACATCCGTCGACATCCATCGACATGTCACTTCGGACACGCCCTGAATGATGCAGGCATTTACTCGAAGATCTCCAAATTACACCCTCATTCTCGACCTCCGCACAATTGGGAGCCCTGGCTACAGTGCGTACTGCTGCTTGGACCCTAGCGATCTGGTGCTTGGAGCCGAACCCTAAGCATGGTGGCGGGCAAATACACTCCATAAAAACGGTACACAACGGTATAAAAAAACAAATTGCTATTACGTACGGTTGAGTGCGGCAAATGTGCCTACGTTGACCATTTTGGACGCACTGATGTCATTACACCGGCATGTGGCGGATGTCAGTGTGGCGAGAATGAGGGTGTACTCCCAATTGTACGTTCCGCTATGCACTCGAACATTTTCACAGAATCAGAAGAGACAAATTGAATGAGCCAAACAAGGTGATCTTGAAGGACTTCCACAAAACTTCTGTAGAATGGTATTTTTGCATGATGGACGCGTCGTGTACAGAACAGCCAAGGCGCCTTGCGTGAGCAGTCGCATTCCCTCTTGCTTGATTCGACCTGCTGTGCTCTTCTTCCTGCCTACGAATTGGCGAAATGACGCGCATCGGTGGATATCGCGTTTCTCTTAACTGGATCGACCCAAATTACTCCGACCTCGCTAGGTGGGCGCTTCCCTAAATTGGATAGACCGCGATTGCGAGCGCCCATTCGGGCACCGGCTGGAGGTTCTTGGAATCACAAACAGTCACAAATTAGGTGATTATCGTTATTCGGTCACCAGCTGCATCCACTTTAGGGAAACGCCCACGTGGCGAGGTCGGAGTAATTTGGGTCGATTTATTTGAGAGAAACGCGATTTCCGCCGATGCGCGTCATTTCGCCCTACAAATTTCAGGAATGCGTGAATCTGTGGTAGAGATTACATTGCGGACCGAATATGTGGGATGCGGACCGAATAGGTGGGATGCGGACCGAATAAACTCATATTTGTTGTGGAGCTCCCACAGAGTGGAAGACACTTAGCGAAAGAAAATATACCCTGTTTTACATGGAAACATCCGAGAGAATACCGATGGGATCAGTTGGAGGAGACTGTAACCCCCCAAAATTGTCTTGTTTTCCTTTTCAGAAACACTCTGGCGAGACACATGGTGTAAATGGCTGTTTGTAAGACAGTGAAAAACCGTTGGCAGTCGAAAATATACCAGCGTTTCTGATCATTAAAAAAAAAAAATGTCTTCGCATGACAAGGTTTCTCACCTTGTGCACTTTTAGATTGGTCCTAAGAACAGAATCCTGTTTTGTTTCTTTCGAACTTTTTAATCGGGTTACCCAAATGGGGTGACCGAAAGAGTGGGTACCCACGCAGAACTGGACAAGCCAAACAAATGAAGCTTCTTTTTTGTTGATTGTAGCTTTTGGCAATGGTTGCCTCTACATGATGCACCGCGTGGAAACGACTATGTCAATAGCCTACAAAAATGAAGTTGGTATGGGGAATAAACCTCAGGACAACTTGAAATCGCGTCATTGACCTCAGGAACGTCATTGAACTGCTCTCAAAGCAGACAGTAACAAACGTGCCTGAAACAGTAAACACGCTCTACTACACCGAATCATCACTTTCTCCATTTTGTTTTTTTTCATTATTTGAAAAAGCACTTTCCACGCAAGTGTGAGGAGGACGGATTTTACTCATTATCAAGCGAGCGTACATTACGAAATTCTAGGACACTGTCGTAGATGGTTTGCGAGGGCCTTCGTATAGTGCAGGTACACCGTGTAAGGTATTTGTTAGCTCTGTATAATGTACTGTATGGTGTACCTACGTAGAATACAGTTTTGTGAAAGCTGATGCTATTTTCTATCGCTAGTTTAAGATATATCGAAGAGCACAAAATCAAGTTCTAAGTGAAAGCTGAACCTTTCACAGATTATCAAAATCGTATCTGCGTTTTGGTGATGCGGAAGTTCGTGGGAGACAAATAAGGGTCGTGTTTTGTTGCGTCCTTACACCTCCACTCATAAGGGCTTTATTTAGCGTCGTCAACTTATGATCATAATTTCGATCACGATCACACCACAGTAGCCAGTCGGGCAGATACTGCATTGCCCGTGCACACGGGCCGCCCTGGCACCCACCTTGTGCTGACGCGGTGGATCGGTTTCCCCCGAAAAAGAAAAGATTTGGATTTTGACAGTGTGAAGTTTGGTGTCTCAGCACAGGGGACGCGCTTTTTCACCCCACTTCTAATGCCGACCAGTCACAATCAGCCCACCAGGATTTTCCTGACGTTTTAGGCTTGCGGACAGAGGTGAAGTGGTGTCATTCGGGCGGATTGCAAAATGGACGAACCAGAACGAGCCGAGCAAATGGCGCAGCGGTTCTCCAACCAGCACTTGAAAAGCTCACTTCGTACACACACTCAATTGAGAAGCGGAATTTCTCGACCACGTGGATTTCCTTCCGACCTTTCCCGTGCTCTCCGTCACCAGCTAGTAGTATGTTTGGAAATCGAGGCTCTCGTCCTTTGCCGCCGCTCATTAGCTGGCGCTGATACCCACTGGCCATTTCGTCCGGCGCATGTTTTATGGCGACTCGGAGTCACTGCGCAAGCCCATCATTGAAATGCGTTCTAATGCGAAAGTCCATCGACGCCGCACCAGAAGAGCAGAACAAGTGCGCTAAGCTAGTACCACAGCTTGCCATTCTGTTCTGGAACTGGGAGCGCGTAGCGTAAATGGTTATCGCAGTTGCGCGTCGGCATACTAGTAGTACTAGTACTAGTATCGGTCGTCCGTTTGACGTTGTGCGACGTTTTATTACTCGCATGGACGAGCAGCCACAGTCCAAGGCACTTCAGCCTGACTCAGAGGTTCCGGACGACGGCGGTAGTAGTACTATCAATAGCAATAACAAGAGGCTCGGAGCAAAGGTCGTTCACGCGCATGACTGGAGTCTTGAGGCACTTAAAGCTGGCCCCGGAAGGGCGGGGCGCGGTCGAAGGAAGCTCGATTCCGCGTCGTCGTCGTCTCCCGGCGCCAGTGGCGGCGGTACCCGGGACGAGCCCCACGCGGCGGACGCAACCGCCGCGTCGCCGACGCCGCCGCCGCCGCCGCCGCCCTATGATAAGGAATCTTCTCCCGCCACCGACGTGACGAGGCTCCAGCGACCGCCACGGCAGCAGCCAGTGCCACATCAGCTGGCAGCTGGCAGTGCTGGCTCAGCCGCAGCCACAGCGGTGAGAGTCGTCATGGCGGCGGCGGCGGCGGCGGTACAACAAAAACCCGATTCTAACGCGATCTTGTATCGAAACAACGTCGCTCAGGCTGTAACGGCGTCTATGTCATTGTTACCAGAAGTGCGGCGCGAGGTAGGCGGCGGCGGCGGCGGCGGCGGCAGCGGAGTCGGCGGGGCCGTTGCCACAAACGCAGCCAACTCAACATCAGTCCGGGATCTGGGCAACGGCGCCGACGCCGGCTTCGCATTTAATTCTTCTGCTCCAGCGCCGCCGGTTGCTGCCACTCTTGGCGCTGGCGCTGCTGCTGCTGCCACTACCACTAACACTAATTCTAACAGTTGCACCGTCAGTGGAACTTCCAGCACGGGAGCTCCGGATTCGAGTCTCAACCCAGTCGGTGTTGCTGCTCTTGGCGCGGCCGGTGATATCAGCGGCCCTCAACCTGGCGGCGGCGGGGGAAGTGGAGGACGGGGGGTTGTGACGTGTCGCGTGGACGGGTGCGGAGAGGATCTGTCGAGTGCTCGCTCGTACAACCGGCGGCACCGGGTGTGTGGCGTGCACACACGCGCTGCTGTGGTCACAGTGGAGGGCAACCGACAACGGTTCTGCCAACAATGCAGCAGGTGAGGGCTTGGAGGTCTATAAGATCTGCTGCTGCTGCTGCCCCCGCCGCGGCCGCTGCTGCCGCGGCCGCCGCTGCTACCACTTCCCACTCACACCAGCCCCCTTGTGCTGCCGTCTCCCCTCTCCCTTGTTCTCCAGATTTCAGGACATGGATGATTTTGAGCCGGGCAGGCGCAGCTGCAGGCAGAGTCTCCAGTACCACAACAAGCGGCGGCGCAAGGGGGACCTCAAAACCCTCTGCACACCACAGCTGGGCACCGGCGGTTCAGCAGAGGAGGGCCGCGACAAGAGGGGCCCGGACTCAGGAAGAACGGCGAGCATGGGAGGCGGTGGAGGGTGGAGAGGAGAGGATCAGCGGCATGGGGGCACAGGTGAGGTGGAGAGAATCTGAGTGAATCTGAGTGTATGCGCGCTGTATGTTCAAACTTTTCATTTGCGTGCATCCCATGTCTGTGGAGGTAAGGGTGCAAGCACGTGTGAGTGTGTGCTGCCCTGTCTCTCATCGTAGTGCTTGTCCCCGTGTGTGTGCACGCGTGTGTGGCTCTGCAGGATCATCCAGTGATAACTCCGGAGACCCACGTGCGGCAGGCTACAGCCTTGCTGGTCAACCTGGTCAACTTGGTCAAACTGGTCAACCTGGTCAAGCAGTCGGGAACCGCCGCGTGGAGGAAGACCAGCAGCAGCGCAACAGCGACTCGATGCAAGTTGCTCTCGCCAGTGCTGACCTGGTGCTGAGTCAGGTTCAGAACCAGGCCGTAACAACAACGTCAACCGCAACAGCAACAGCAGCAGCAGCAGCACCTATTGCGAGGCATCAAGAGCGTCTGAGCCCGCAGCCCCAGAACCAGGGCTCGTCCCTGCAGTTCCCTCGTCAGCCATTCCAGCACCAGCGCAGCATGAGCAGTGGCAGCACGGGGTATGGCAGCAGCCCGTCTTTCGATCAAGCTGAGCGACAAAGAATGACACCGGGCGCTCATTTGGATGCCCACCAGCCACTTCAGCCCCTTCAGCCTCTTCAGCCACTTCAGGGGCAGTCAACGCTTCCGCTCCACCAGCAGCATCAGAACCGTCCACGGCTGAGCCCGCCGCTGCCGCCTCGCATGCAGCAACCCAGTCAGGCCGGGCGGATGATTCAGGTGCTTGCCCCACCACCACAGCAGCAGCACACGGTTCTTTCTGTGACCCATGGATGGGGAGACGTGCAGGTGCAGCGGCACATGCCCGTCTCGGCGACAGCGGGCGCAGCGAGAATGCTAGCAACAGCAAGAGCGGCGGCCAACTCAGGAGCAGCGGGGGATGGGGTATCGTCATCGTCTGGCGTTTCTGCCTTCCGATCATCTGCAACGCCTCCTGCAAACACGTCTCCCCCGAACCTTTCCATGCCTTGGGCCTCTGCCGCTGCAGCCACTGCTCTCGCTGCTCCCGCTGACACCAGTGAGGTGGCTGCAGCCTCTGCAGCTGCTGCGTCTGCTGCCGCTGCTCCTCTTTCGCCGTTTTCCCGGCCTCTTGCTTTTTGCAGCTCTGTCGGGTTTGCTTCCGAGACAGACAGAGGGCTGGAGACATCCAGCTTACCATTTGAAAGCCACATCTCCCTTCAATCGCCCGCGCAACTTCACCATCTTCCCCCTCTTCCTTCCCTCCAAAATCCTCCTCACCTTCCTCCTTTTACTCCACCTCCTCCTGTCCCTAATCCTGCTCCTGCTCCTGCTCCTTTCTCTCCTCTTCCCCTTCCTCCTTCCTCACAAGACCAGATCCTCCTCCCAATCCCATTCGCACTCCCATCCTCTCCATCTCTCCTCCCCTCTTCCTTCTCGCCCCAGCTTCTTCCTTTTCCTCACAGCAGCCCGCTTTCCGGCCAGTATTCCAATCAACAGCACTCAGCACGCCTCGCCGCGAACCCAAAAGCCACCGCCGCCTTCCTCCCTGCCGCACTCCAAGCAGCACAGAACTCAACAGTGCCTGCAGAAACACTGTTCAGCCATGGCCGCACAGTAACAAGTCCGGATACGGCCCCTCAATCCTTTGATCCTGCTGCTCCTGTCACTGCCGCCACGGCTGCTGCTACTGCCGCCGCCGCTGCTGCTGCTTCTGCTGCTGCTGCTGATGCTGCTGCTTCAGGAGCTGCTGGCAGCACTGTGGCTGCTGAAGCACCATGCGCAATGCCGCACAGCACCCCTCCGTTCACTCCCCAGCCCTTTTCCATTCCGCTGCTGCAGCCACAGGCGCAGTGGCATGTGAATGGGCGTCAACCAAGGCAGACAGTCGAAGAGCGTGAGGTGGATCTCGGGTTTGGGAAGCTTGGCTTTGGAGACGCGCGAGCCGAGGTGACTTTTGAGTTGACTCAGAAGCTTGGCTTTGGGGACGCGCGAGCCGAGGGAGGAATGGGCGGTGGGAGATGGGGAATCGGGAGAGAGGGCGAGGGATTGGAGGGGCATGGGGAGGGAATGGATGTTGGTGGATGGAGAGCATCAGAGGCTCATGAGTCTCACGCTGTTGGATGTGACATGAGTGCACTCACTGCTGCTGCTGATGCTGGTGCTGGTGGTAACGGTGGTGCTGGTGGGCATGGTGGGAATGGTGGGGCTTGCACAGCAGCAGCAGCAGCAGCAGCAGCAGGTGGGATGCAAGGAGGGATCGGAGAAGGACAGAACGTCAGAGGCTGGGAGGGAGGAAGCCACGGGCAGGGTGGAGCAGAGGAAGGCGAGGGGGGGTTGACAGGGGAGCTGAGGGAGCTCGATTCCTTGGACTTTGCTCCGTGGCCTGGCGGTTATGGCGGCTTTGGTGGGGCTGATCTTGGCGACAGCTAGTGGATGCTGGCGGGACCAAGGCCCTGGGCTTGCCACTGTGGGAAAGTGGTGGATGCATTGCGTGGTGGTTGGTTGGGCCGGGTAGGCTTGGCTGCCTGCAGGGGGGTTTTTACCGGCGGCGGCTCAAAATGTGCGTGCGTGTCTGGGGTGTTTTAGACTCTGGTTCTGGCAGCTGTTGTTGAGCTTGGAAGCTGATGAAGATGCTACGTTAGCTTGATGCGAACGACCAGTAGCGCCGCTGGTGAAGACGCTGCTGCTTACGATCTGATTTGATGATGAAGCAACCTGTTGACTCCCTCCCTCCCTCCAGCTTATGCCTCCAGCTGATCCCCTCCACTGCCTTATGCCACCTGGACTTCCGAATCTGAATTCTCTGGCCACCATTCTGGCCTCTCTGCACTGCTCTCACCCCTACCGTTGCTTATCCACCTAAGTTCACCAGCCTTCCAGACTCACTGCTTGGCTTGTGCCCTGACTGATCCATGCCAAAATGTACGGTACCTCAGATAGTAATCTCTTGTATCATATCGATCATATCCTCATCAACGTCATCTTCTCCTCACACCTGGCCAGAGGGAATTTACTGTGCGATGGTCCGAATATTATGCCAGTATCTGCTGCTATGCCTCAGATCACATGCCTGGGTGTGGTGAGGTGTCTCTGTCACATCTGGAATGGAGCGTCATGTATAACTTCCAGCATCATGTGTGTGTGTAAAGGTTGGCTATTCCATGTTCACGAACATTTGAATTTGCATGAGCGAAATAGTACCAATTGCCAGACTGTTGGACATTAAACTCTTAGTGATGTGTGTCATATGGGGTACAATAGTTAGGGTTAGGTTCACGTACCCCAACCAACCTTAGTCAACACATTCTTCTGTTCTTGACACAGACCTGGTAACCCCTCGGTGTCGGTCCTAAAGCCGTTTCAGCAATAATGTGGAGAATTTGAAGTACAATAGTTCATCAATACTAGAACAAGTGTGCATCAGTGCGGTAGGGAGTAAGAAAAAGGAGGAGAAGAGACAATGACAATGCACCATGGTATCAAAGCAAGGACACTTGAATGGTGTGACAACCATGCGTCTACGTGCATTGGAGGATGGGTTAAGGAATGGAGTAGGGACGAGGGGGATGGACACAATGGGTAGAGCAGAGTGAGCAACGAAGTTTGGGTGACTTTGAGCAATTTAAGAGCGAGGGCAGAGCAGAGCAACGGAGAGGCAGGCACAACAAACGTAGGACGGGTCACGGGAACTTGACAGAGCAGGGGCCGCTAAAACGCCTGGACTGGAGACCACTAATATGCAATGCAACCCAGGAGCAGAGCAGCAGCAGTGGCATCAGCAACATCAGTACACGTAGGGCAGCATCCTGTAGGGCACGCGCTGACAGTACTGCTTGTACTCGGGGAAGGCCTTGAGTAGCATGGTCTCCTCTAGGGTGATGCGCGCCCGGTAGTAGAGGAGAGATGCAATGAAGAGGAAGAGCATTGCCTTGTAGCTGCGCGGGAGAGGGAGGAGGGAGGGGAGAGGGAGGAAAGGGGAGGAGAAGGGATGGTGGATTGTGGTGAAACGACGGCGGATGGGGAGGAGAGGGAAGCAGGTGGTAGAGCAGCGAGGTGGTGACGAGGAAGGGCGTTGCTTTGTAGCAGTGAGGAGGGAGGGCGGAGGGCGGAGGGATGGGAGAGGATGGGGTGGTGGATTGTGGTGGGGAAGGAGCTGTGGTAGGATGATGGTAAATGGGGAGGGAAGCAGGTTGTTGAGCAGAGGGGTAGTAAAGAGGAAGAGCATTGCCTAGTAGCTACGAGGGAGAGTGGGTGGAGAGGGGCCTATTGAGAAATGACAGGGAAGAGTGGAAGTGGTGGATGAGGTGGGGAAGGAGGGAGAGAGGAGAGAGGAGGGGGATTGGATAGGAAGGAGATCGTGAGAGAGAGAGGAGGGAGGGAGGGAGGGAGGGTGTGCGGTGAAGGAGAGAGTTGAGAGGGAAAAGGATGGGAGGGCATAAAGGACAGGAGTGCTTGTGAGGTTGGGATCACGAGAGGGAACAGATCAGCATGGCCCAAGCGCCCAACAAGGGCCAAGATATGCTCTCTTTTCAGGCCAACAATCGTCACCGTCGCCGACTATGTTGAAAAAGACGCGTCCAGAGTCTTGGATGCTAGTGTCCTCGACGCTAGTGTCCTGGACGCTGGACGCTTACTGGTCTGTGATTAGGATGCTAAGAAAAACTCTGGGCCGGGCAGGGTGAAAGAACTATCGGGCAGGTAAAAAAACCGTTTAAAGCTGAAGTATACATTTGTCGGCAGGGTTTAGGGTTTAGGGAGTGCGCCCCACAGGTTTGGGGCAACTTTTCAAATTTCAAAAGATTTTGAACCCTTCCTTTCAAATGTATACCGGAGCTTTAAGATCGGGGGAAAGGGGGTTTCGGGACATTGCAACCACATTGAACATGGGTTATCCGTAAAATCTTAAATCAACACCAAAATTCCACCCACATAAGTTGCGACAGACATTTAGCGCCAAAACGTAGCATTTTGACGCTTGGCTGGAGCTGCTATGTCCCAGCGTCAAATCCATCACAGCTGGCAGCTGGCTGCCAGCTGGCTACCAGCTGGCTATCCCTTCTTTCCTATCCCTACACTGCACCTCCGCCCGCCCGGCTCACTCTGCAACAGCTGTTTGCGAGGAGGAGTGGGCCCACCGTTATTCACGCCTCACACGTGCAACAACCAAAGGCGCATGACTTGGACTGCATACCATACCATGCATGCATTGCATGGTCCATATGGGGGAGACTGCAACCTTCTGCCCTAATCAAATCAATGGCCACACAGCAGACCTCTGAATCCGTCTAAAAGCTATGGCGCCAGCCAGCATCATTGATTCCACCCTCCAGCACCCAGAAAGAATCCACATGCGACCAAGAAAAGGGGGGGATGGTTGCTGGGGACGCGGAAGCCGTGACATGACATGGCACTACTGCAACCGGCAAGAGAAAGGAGAGAGAAGAAGAGGGAGGGGACGAGCAAGGGCGTGACTGAGAGGGCAGCTGCTGCTGACCTGTGCAGGGAGAGGCAGAAGGCGCAGAAGAGCAGCACGTAGGACGCATAGAGCGGGTGGCGCAGCGAGCGGTAGGGCCCCACCGTGACGACGGCCTTGGGCACGACGAGGCGGTCAAAGTACTTGCCCAGGAAGAAGGCCGCATCCCAGTGCAGCCACAGGGCAAACACCAGCAGCACCGGCGCCACACGCGACGCCCACGGGTCGAGCGCCGCTGCGAACGGGGCAGCGGCTCCGGCTGTTGATGCGCCTGATGCGGCGGCAGAGGCTGTGGCTGCCGTGGCGGCGGCGGTGGAGGCGGCGAGGATGGCTGCACGGGATGCGGACTCGAAGGCTGCGTACCAATGGCCGCCCACCACTGACAGCACAAAGAGCACCTGGAGATGGGGTTGTGGGGGGGGCCGAGGGGTGGACAGAGGGGAATGGGTATGGGGGAAAGGAGATAGGGGAAAGGGAGGTAGGAAAACTCTTTTGAGGTGCCTCAAAAGGCTGCGTACCAATGGCCGCCCACCACTGACAGCACGAAGAGCACCTGGAGATGGAGGGGTTGTGGCGTGGGGTGAGGGGAGGACAGAGGGAAAGGGGGAACGATGCGGATGGGGATGGGAATGGGGATGGGGATGGGGATGGGGATGGGGATGGGGATGGGGATGGGGATGGGGATAGGGATAGGGATGGGGATGGGGATGGGGATGGGGATGGGGATGCGGATGCGGATGGGGATGGGGATGCGGATGGGGATGGGGATGGGGATGGGGATGGGGATGGGGATCGGGATGGGGATGGGGATGGGGATGGGGATGGGGATGGGGAAGCAGGAGAGTACGAGCACGGTGCAGGAGGATAGGAACGGGCATCACGCATGGTTGATGGAAGGAGGAGGAGGAAGGCATGCGGGGCCGGAAAGATGCACCGGAAAAAGGCGCTTGAAACGACGCTTGCAAGGGCACTAAGATGGGCAAAGAAAGTGACCCACCTGGGCTGTGCGGCTGGTGGCGGTGGCCTGCTGCTGGTCCTTGCTGGGTGGTGCGAGGTCCCCGTAGAGCTGCAGGCGCACAATGGCTGATGCGCTGAAGAACACCGCGTACAGCACACATAGACTCACCCGCCACCCGTCCAGATAGCCCTGCGGGACGAGGAGAGAGGGAGAGAGGGCGAGAGAGGGAGAGAGGGAGGGCGGGGAGGGTGGGAGAGAGGGATCGAGAGGGAGGGGGGGAAGGGGGGGGGGGGGGGGGGGGGGGGGGGGAGAAAGAGCGGTGGGTGAGTGAGAGGGAAAGGAGAGGTGGGGGAAGGTGGACCGGAGGAGACAGAACAAGAGAGCAAGAGAGTGGGAGATCAGCTGGGTGGGTGAAGAGGCAACTTCTGCACCCGCGCCTTCCCCACAGTGTGAGCCTCTCCCTCCTGCACTGCACTGCACTGCACTGCACTGCACTGCACTGCACTGCACTCGACGCATCACAATCCTCGCCACCTAAACCACAAACCTAGAGGAGCACTCCTAACTCGACTCCTAGAAACAAGTCTCACACGCTGCCTTTCCGGGGTAGCAATTACGAAAGCACATGCATGGCTTGAACCACTTCCTATCTGCCCATCCGTCCGCCCATCTATGCGCACCTCCTGCCTCCCATGGATTTCCCCTCCCCCTCTCCCCCATCCCGCCTCCCGCCCTCCCTCCCCCCTTTTTTTTTCCTGCTGCTTCCCCCTCCCCCTCCCTCCCCCATTCCCCCCTCCCCCCCGAGCCCGCCATTCTCACCTGAAACGCTCCGCAGGGAACCAAAATGAGCCACGTAAGCGCGCCGAGCAGCACGCCCACCTGCTTCCACAGCGGCTGCTTCTTCCCGCCTCCAGCTGCCGCCGTCGCCACCGTCCACGCCGCAATCAGCGCCGCCGCGGGCCACGGCCACACCACGAGCAGCCAGCTCGCGCGCAGCAGCACCTCTGGGTGCAGGACCGCGCCGACCACGGCGCCAAACACGGCGCGGCCCGCGGTGACCGCGATTACCGCGGCAACGGCGAGCTTAAGGAGAGAGTATGGCGTGAGGCGGGGCAAAGGGGGAGCGGCAGGCGGAGGTGGAGGGGTTAGGGGAGAATCGAGGGGGATAGCGCCTGCTGCGGCGGCCGCCGATTGCGCCGCAGCAGCGAGATCCGCGGCAGGCCCAGAGGATCCAGTTTGCGAGTCCCCTTGATATCCGCCGCCTAATGCGGCTCTGACCGCCGTCCAATTGCGACACTCTGGATTCGGCCAGCGACGTCGTCCGCTACTTCTCGCCGCGTCGCACAAATGACTCGTCGTCACTGTCGCATGAGATCGAATTGATCGAAGGGTGGAATAGGGTTGTGTGGAGGTTTTACGGGTTCTGCTACAGAAGCTGCTGCTGCTGCTACTGCTGGCTATAGCGACGAAAGCCGCTGCTGGGGAGCCGGCGGACACGTGGCGCGCTGCTGATGCGGCTGCTGGTCTCATCGTTGCATTGCTCGGCGCGCAGCCGTACACCGGGGACGCTGCTTGCAGACTCGCCGCCGCCGCTGCCATCTCGCCGGGGGGCGCCGCGCAATGCGGGGACACGGAGTGAGTGGTTACTTGGAAAGCCGTACTAAAAGAAAATGGCGAAATTTCTACGCTTCGGATGAGCAGCTTCCGCGGAGCTTAAACTAGCGCCCCCTCCCCCGGGTTAACTAGGTTGACCGCGAAGGGTTTATTTGAGATAGGCGCGGTCGAATCAGCGGTTTGCGACGCGATCAACGGACGGTCATGAGTATGAAACTAGCGGACATGGACTGGAACGATATTGCGACGTGTCAGCGAAACCATCGGTTTGTAACCAGCGGCTGTTACAAGAGGTGCTTGGCGTTGCGCACACGAAAAATTGGGGCGACCAAGAGTTAAGGCACAAAAACGATCCCGACTGCTGTGGACCCGCCGCGAAATGCGGCTGTGCTCTCGAGAATCTGCCCAGGGTGAGTGGGAGAATACCTTGGGATTGCTACTAGCAGTAGAAATTGCGTAGTGAAGCACTGTTAATGACCGGAGTAACCGAAGTTTAGAAACGGTTTGGTAGGAGATTCGCTGGATGATCAATAAACATACAAATCACCTCAATTATATAAAAATGCCCTCAGACTTAAAAAAAAATGATAATTGAAAGTATACACCGAATGGGCAAGCATATACCGCCGAGAATATCTCAGCGCGTTCAGGTCGTCACCCGGCGGAGCTCGCTGCCCGCGGGCAAAAAAAATAAACCCCAGTCGGGCATGCATCCGGTCAGGGAGGAATCAACCCTAAACACGGGGAGGCATGGATTTAGGGTTGATGCCTCCCTCGGATGGCATGCCATTCGATAGGGTTTTAGATTTTTCTGCCCGGGGCAGCAGGTCGTCAGGTCGTCACAGGTCGTCGGGCCTGACGACCCATTTCCGTTGAGATCTTCTGACCAGAACGGTCGTAACCGTGCGTGAGGAACTAGAGGGGACCTCTTGCTCAAGATGAGATTCCTAGGGCCGAATGTTCCTGACCCTCCGCGCCGACCAAATTGCTGCAAAGTTGTTTCTCCACTTCAGGCTTTTGCCATCCATTTTGATTCTCCCAAGCATGTTCCATTCCTCCAATGAATCCCGCTGCCTCTGCTTGCGCCACGTCACCCCAAATTTGTGGATGTACAATTTCACGTGCTGCCGAAAAGTCACTTCAATCCTTCTCAGGACCCGTTGCGTCCGGAATTTCTGCCCCCTGAAGACAGCTTCACACCGCTCGAGCCACAACTGGTGCAGTGCAATTGATGTTAGGGCATATTCCTACGGCCTCCTATCAAGCCACCTCCTATCAAGATTGTACATTTTGCCTGTGAAAAGTAGCGAGAGGTTTTGGGTTTAGGGGATTTTTCAGTGTGAGCTTGATAGGAGGTCAGATTGATAGGAGGATAGGAATACACCCTTATCGTCAGCTCCGGAAAAGCTGAGCTGGTTCCAGTCCCCTAGAACAGGAGATCACCCAACGAGTCCGTCGCGTGGCCAGGATTCAGCATGCCCAGAGCGCGCCGAAGAGCTGCAGAAACCACTTGGATCCTGGGGCAGAGAACCAAACAGTGCTCCAGTGTCTCAGTTTCCCCGTAGTACGGACACACCGGCTTGCTGCTGAGGAAAGCCAGTCACTCCCCTATTTGCAAATTCAGACCGTGGATCCGGGTGAGCACGTCGCGTGGACGGCTGGGAACCGCCAAAGAGTCCCGTGTATTCACAAACCTTTTCCAGTTGTTGTCCCCTCCCCATCGTGCCGCCCATTTTGCGCGCTTGTACGACTCCTTCCGGGCCTCCACCCATCCCTCCTTCATCCGCTTCATGGGGATTGTTATGATATGAAATTACATGAGAAGGCATTCATGTAAGCTGAAGGAGCCGACTCTACCGAGTACAAAGTCGAGGAGTCAGAAGAGTCGAAGCGACGCAGCAACCGTCTGACCAAAGACATGCAGGCAGAAACATCTGAAATGAAAAGAGCGGGAACAGGTTTTGAACGGGTTCCCGCGCCGCACGATTTGAACTTGCTGTAGTAAGGGAATGTACCCTTTAGAGTACATGGCTAGCCTATGTCTTTTCGTATTCCTTTGTATTCTTCTATAAACCCAATGTATGCACGTTTTTATCAACTCAGTCATTTACATTCACTCTGACCTGAGATTCAATCTTCCGCTGCAAAACTACTCTTCGATCAACCCTGAGCGATCCTTCGCTAAGTCCCATTTGGGATTGTAACATGGTATGAGAGCTACTCAGTGATTCTTCGCATCTTCACTTCCGTGAAATTCGCTGAACCAAGATATGGCGAGCGGCACACGCTCCGAGACCAAGATGGCCGAAGGATCCGGAGGCCAAGCAAATCTGACGGCTGAAGGACAAACCAACCCGGCTGCGACAAATGAGGCGACAACTACGATCGGCACTGCCGCACTCGAGCAACTATTCGCTCGACTTTCTACTATGGAGAAAGAACTAAAAGAACTGCGCAAAGGCGACGCGGGAACCTCTTCCCAGCCAGTTCAACCTGGACAACCGGCCACGAAAAGCTGTGATACCGCCGCGCACACCTTCTCCCCCGACACAGACAAATCAACAACAACTGCCCCCCATCCAAGTGATGAAGTCATCAACTCTGCGCAAGCACACTTCCTCAATGTTTCAAAAAACAAGAATACTGCCGCATTTGACGGCAAAGATTTCTACACATGGAGTTTCGAGCTTGTGCTCCTCCTACAAACAGCGCAAATCTACTATTACTTCGACAGCTCCTATCCTAAACCGGTGGACAACACCGACGACGCCAGGGCTCAGTACTACAGCGAGTCCCTCATGGCTTATATGTCAGAATGCTAGGCAGGAATGGATCAACTAGGAAAATGTTGGGTACAAATAGGAAACCCTAGAAGGGGCTGTACCCCATATTGGCTACCCCACTACAACCTAAACATATATAGCATATATATAATTTGACACACCCCCATAGGCAAAGTGGGGGAGAGCAAGGGGTCACAAGACCAGTCAAGAGAAGGAAAGCAAGCTTAGGGTGGATCATAGCGTCACCACACACACTGAGCACAAGCAGAGGGCCACAAGGCCACTTCACATGCAGAGGTATATATGCAACAACAGCAACACAGTGATAACTACCTAGCAAGGGCAAGCATGCAAGTATGTATATATATAGATCACTGTACAAGCAAAGTCTACAGCAAGTGAGGAAACGTGGGCACAAGGCCTAACAAAGTACAAAAGCGCTGATGATCACCAGGTGGAAGTGCCTTGGTGAATATATCAGCAGTGTTGGCCCGAGTGGCCACGTGAGCAAGACGAAGCTGACCTCGCTGCTGCAACTCTCGAGCAAGGAAGTAACGCA